CTGGCAAACTCCTGCCCATGGATGCCCCAGCAAAAGTAGAGGTCCAGGAGCTTGTGCTGGCCCGAGGGAAGAAGCACAAGAAGGGATCCCAGCTGCCTTTCTGGATTTGCCCTATTCTGTTGAGACCTAGGCCCAGACTGATTCCAGAATCCTTAGGGACTTCCAGAGCCCCAGTGTGATCCACAGGCAATGACCCTGCTCTTGGAGTGCCACTTCCACAGAAGCCCCTAACCATGGTTTGGCATACTGGATCTGGGGCTTAAGGGTAGAAAGGGAACTTGTGGAGACAAGGACAACTTGAACTGTCAACCTGGGGACCTTCTTTCCTACACAAAGAATGGGACACATCCATGGGTGGCGCCTGTAGCTCAAGGAGTAGGGCACCAGCCCCATATCCTGGGGGTGGCGGGTACAAACCCAGCCCTGGCAAAAAAAAAAAAAAAGAAAGAAAGAAAGAATGGGACACATCAAGAGGAGAAGAGGGAGTACACAGGGGTCAGGGTGGCCAAAGATGGCCCAGTACCATTGGCTGGGGGTTAAGTACCAGGCTATTGGAAAGATTATTGGGGAAGGGGTCTTAGTCACATTTCCCAATGTGAATTCAGGGTTAAGGGGATAAAAAATAGTCTGGGACCCTGGGCCTAGAGAACTGAAGGCACTAGGGGCAGACAAGGGAGCACAGTGGAAGTGGGCGGGACTTCAAAGGCATCTGAGGATCTTGGCTTCATGGGTGGAAAACTGTAAACAGTCAAAGAGAAGAATTTTCTTTGCTTGCACAGGACAGGTTGACCAGGTCCAAGGCAAAAGGCAAAGAGCCCAGGAGTACGAAAAAGCCACAGCCTAGAAGTCTGAGAGCTCAGTCAGGGGTGCATCCCTCCACCCTTCCTCTTGGAAGCCCCTGGTCCTCTACAGGCCCCCATCATCCACCTGCCTGCTGGCCAGGCCAATCAAGGAACAACAGGTCCTGAGGCTCAGGAAGGAGGAGCATGGCTCCACTTCTACTTCCAGGGGGCTTTGGAGATAGGTCTCCCCTGCCCCTGTCCCTGCCTGGGTGGAAGGCATCCAAGGGATGGGCAGTAGGACTGTACATACTTGGAGTACCTATGCATCTAGTGCAGCAGTGCCTCTCACTGACCCCTGAGGAGCTGCTTATCAGCCCAGTGGAGGTGGCAGGAGAATGCCTTTTTCAGGGACTGAGGGGTCAAAGGGCATCCTTTATTTTTTTTATTTATTTTTATTTTTTTATTTTTTTGAGATGGAGCCTCAAGCTATCCCCCTGGGTAGAGTGCCATGGCATCACAGCTCATAGCAACCTCCAACTCCTGGGCTCAAGCGAGTCTCCTG